TCTTCATTTGATGCTCTCAACAGGGAAAGTTTAGAGTGAGGGTTGACATTTCACATTTAGCATGTTGTTTACCAACTTTTCACACACCAACCCTGACTTTCGGGAAATGAAAATGGCAGAATTATCAACCTGAAGATCCAATGATATGGAAAAGGAACTGCTACTCTTTTGAAGGACGCCATCTCAATGTCATTGGAAAGTCCAGATTGCCTGATATGCTGGTATAACCAAATTTCTGTGGTCAGGTCCCCACAGGTCTCTGGTTAAAGGGAGTTAAGTCTATGCTGAAGGCAGAGAGGGAGAGGACATAAAAGCAAATGTTAAGTTTTCCACACCACAGGGCATCTGCGCCAAGGTGGCTGTGTGTGTCAGGGAATCCCTCCTCTTGGGAGCCAAGAGGAAGTCTCTCAAAACTAGAAAGGAAAGATGATGTCCAAGTCAATCCAACTTCAGAGACATTCTATTAGTGACAAATGCCCCTTCCCCAAAAAACAACAATGAAGTGTTCTGTGCGCTAACAACATAGCTTAAAAAAAAAGGTAAAACAAAATTCTGCATTTTTATAAAACTTGATAAAAAATAGTATTTCAAATTGTACAGTCACCAGAAGTACACAGTTATCAAAAATACACACACTTCACTTGGCATCTCCCGCACCTTCAGCTTTCTGTGCCTGGTTTGTTTTGGCATCTCCACTTTCTGCAGGGTTATTCTCAACCTTGCCAGCATCAGCTTTTCCCTTGCGAGAAATCACCCCCCCCCCAGGTGGGATGGCCATGCTTCAATCTCTCCTCCTCCTTTCTCCTCTCGGAATCTTGGACACGCACGCACACGTGCCCGGTGTGAGTTTAAGCCACCGGGTCCAGGACTCGAACTGCTGTCTACCAGATGGGAGTCCAGCGACATAGCCATTATACTAACTGCCGGTCCCTTAAGAGTTTCTTTTTGATATGCAGAAAAATAACTAATTATATTAGCTCAAGAAAAAAAATCACTTAAAAATCTTAAATTTTTTATTAAATAAAATATTTGATTATTTTCAAAATATTCTGTATAGTCACCAGTACCACCAATAAAAGAGGTAGTAAAAAAAACACATATACTTGCAAAAATACTTTCGACATAAATGATAGTTATACAAAACACCTTTAAAAATCAATAAGACAATACGATAGGAGAATGATCAAAACATATGAATAGAAAATTAACAGAAAAAAATTCAAGTGATCAAGAAAAACCTAAACATATGTTTGCCTCTCCTAATAATTATATATATGTATGAGTGAGATATTATTATTATTATTATTTAATTATGAATAATCAAAAAATTGTCAATATTCAGTTTCAGAGAGAGATTACTGCTGGCAAGAAGGTAAATTAGCATTATTTATCTGAAGAGCAATTTGTCAATTCCAAGAGCCCTATGAAATGTATATATATTCTTTAACCTGGCAATTTTACTTCAAGCAAATTATCCTAAGAGGCTAGTGTTAAGATGTATGTGTAGAGGGGGACCAGCAGTTAGCATAATGGCTATGTCACTGGACTCCCATGTAGCTGACAATGGTTCGAGTCCCAGACCTGGTGGCTTAAACTCACGCCAGGTGCATGTGCATGCGTGCCCAAAATCCCATAAGGAGAAAGGAGGAGAAGGGATTGCAGCGTGGCCATCCCCCCGGGGGGTGATTTCTCTCTTTCTGTTTTTCTGTCTTTCTCTGTCTGTCTGGAGAGCACATGTGCCCTATACCAAAAATCTCTCAAAAAAAAAAAAAAAAAAAAAAAAAAGAAAGATGTATGTGTAGAGATAGTAGGTGGCGTAGAGGTTAAGGCGGCTGGATCCTGGATGGTGGACTCCATGGATAGTGTCCCAGACTTGGTAGCTTCAAAATCACTCCAGGTGTGTGCCCAAAATCTAGAAAGGAGAATGAAGGAGAAGGAATAGCAGCATGGCCACTCCCCATGGGAGGCTTTCTTTCTCTCTTTTCCCCCATTTCTTTTCATGATTTTATAGTTCCTTTCTTTTTAGCATTGATCGATATTCTATTGTCTGGGTGTACCACAGTTTATCCCTTCTCCTACGGAAGGACATCTTGATTACTTTCACATTTTGGCAGTTATCAATAAAGCTGCAATTACTGTGTGCAGGTTTTTATGTAGGCATGCCTTTTCAATTCTTTTGGATAAATACAAAGAAGTAAAATTTCTGGATTGTATGGTTAAAGTACATTTAGTTTTGTAAGAAACTATCACACTGTTTTCCAACCAATATTGAATGAGATTTTCTGTTGTTCCACATCTCGTCAGCCTTTGGCATCGTCAGTGCTTTAATTCTGGCCAATCTAGTAGGCGTTTAGGGGTATCTCATTGTTCTATTTTGCATTTCTGTGATTTCATGATGTGAATCATCTTCTTATGTTTGTAACATCTGTATATCTTCTCAGATGAGGTTCAAGTCTTTGGTTCATTTTTAAAATCAGGTTGGTTGTTTTATTATCATTGAGTTTTGAGCATTCTTTGTATATTTTGGATAACATCCCTTTATCAGATATGTCTTACAGAAATATTTTCTCCAAGTCTGTGCCTTATCTTTTCATTTTCTTCAACAAGTTTGTTTTGTTTTCTCTTTTTTCTTTCTCTTTCTTCCTTCCTTTCTTTTTCTCTTTCTTTCTTTTGTTTTCTTTCCTCCTTATTTTTCTCTTCTCTCTCTCTCTTTCTTTCATCTTCCTTCTTTCTTTTGTTCTTTCTTTTTCTTTTTTCTTTTTTTCTTTTTCTTTCTCCTCTTTCTTTCTCTTCCTTCCTGTATTCATTCATTCATTCATTCTTTCTTTTTCTTCCTTTCTTTCTTCCTTTCTTTCTTTCTTTCTTTCTTTCTTTCTTTCTTTCTTTCTTTCTTTCTTTCTTTTTTCTTTTTTTTTTTAAATTTTTTAAAGAGGTTTTTGGTTTAGGTGCATGTACTCACCAGAGAGAGAGAGGGACAGACACAGTGAGAGGGAAAGTGAGAAATAGCTCCCTGGAGGGATGATCATGCCACAATCCCATCTCCTTTTTTCTTTTCCTGGGATCTTGGGCATGTGTGGCATGATTTTCAAGCCATTGGGTCTGGGATGTGAACCGCGGTTGGCTATGTGGAAGTCCAACAACGTAACTACTATACCATCTGCTGGTCCTTGTTTTGTTTTGTTTTATACTGAACTTGGCAAACTAAGCTGATCTTAAAATGTACATAAAAATGTGATTAATCTAGAAAATTCAAAACAAAAACAAAAGATGAAAAGGAGGACTTACTATACCCATATCAGGATAAATTTATGATTAACAAGATATGTTGGTATTGATACAGACATAAATAAATAGATAAGTGAATGAAATAGAGACTCTCGAAATAGCCATGCACATATGTGGACTGCACTGCTGTAGATAAAAACAGACTTCTAAATGAATGGGCTGAATTATTTTTATATCCAGATAGATATCCATATGGTCAAGTATGATTTTCTAGTCACAAACATCAGTTCCATGTAGACTTAGACTCTTAACTACATGAGCAAAATTGTAAAGATTTAGAAGAGGATATTGAAAAATATCTTTATGTATTCAGGTTAGTAAAGATTTATTTAAAAAATACATTTGGGCATTAAAAAAAGTATTAAATTCTATCATTCAGGGCAACATAAAAGAACCTGGAGGACATAACATCAAATGGAATAAACCAGGCACAGAAAGACAAATTGCAAGATCGCATGTTTTCATTCATTTATGGAAGTATAAAAAATTGGTCTTATAGATGGAGGAAGTAAGATAGTGGTTGGAAAGGAAGGAATGGAGAGATACTGGCCAACAGATTCAATATAATAATTAAACAGAAGGAATAAATTCTAGTTTTGTACAGCATAATAGCCTAACTATAGTTCTATTGTATGCCTCAAGATAGCTAGAAAAAAGGATTATTTGTAAGTTCAATATTTATTTCTTCTATGCAAGCTGATGAGATAGTTCCAGGTCAAACTCAAAGGACTGAGAATCAGGAAACTTGCTGATGTAAATTTCAGTCCAACACTAAGTCAGAAGAAGAAGAAGGCTGGTACCTTTACCCAACCTTTCTGTTCTTTCTGGTCTTCAACAGATTGGATGAGGCCCACTTTCGCTAGGGAGAGAAATCTGCTCCACTGAGTCTACCAATTCAGATGTTAATCTCATTGAGAAATAGCCTCACAGGCACGCCCAGAATAACATTAAACCAAATATCTGGTCACTCCATGGCAAAATTAAAGGAACCATCCCACCTATAACATGGTAGAAGATATTCATGATACATATATCCAAAAATGATATCCAGAATATTTAAAGAACTCTAACAAACTAATCTTAAAAAAATCAGACAAATAAATAGAAAATTGGAAAAATGATTCCACAAGAGAGGTGATACAAATTGCCAACAAACATATAAAAAAGTACTTAACCTAATTAGCAGTTCAGGAAATTTAAAAAGAGAAAATCAAAGAGATCTAATAACAAATGTCACCTGTGTCAGCTTCCTGACTCTTGTTAAATCCCAAGACTCTTGTTTCCTTTAACTTACTAAGAATCATACAGGTATATAGGACATCACCTATGAACATCCATGGACCTAGAGGTGTACAACAGAATTACTAACTTTATTTTCACAATTTCTAATACCAAGATAGTTTTTAAAAAGTCAGTGGTTAAGTGATCTAGACTCATAATAAGCTAAGAGAACTACTTCTCAAATTAAATATACATGTGGACCACTGTTGCTGAAATGTAGTTTATGACTATGTTTGTAAATCTAGGGAGAGACTTGATATTTTTGCATCTAACAAGCTTCCAGGTGAGGTGATGCAGCTACTGCTGGTGATAGAAAGATGCTAAGGGATTTGCCCGTGCTGGCCAAGAAGAGGGTAATTGTAGACAGCTGAGTATGGCCAAAGGTTTATAAACTCTAGGGAGGCATACTCTTGACCATTTCCTGTTCTCTGTGTGTTGTGTCATGGAGTTTGGCATCATGAAGGCCTCTGTGCTTTTAGGCGGGTCCTTCCTCCTTTCTTTGTTGTTTTGGAATTCTTCTGGACTTGAACCAGGTATGAATAAGAAATATCTTTGGAGGATGTTGACTTAAAGTGACAAAATTGTTCTCTTGAATACTGGGCTGTCTTTTTTCCCCCTACCTCCCTAACTGTTAACCAACAGGTAGGGCTGCCTATTTTCAATTAGACACAGTTAAAAAAAATGTTATCCTTCATATGTTTAAACTGGGCTCAAGGTATTTACTTTTTGAAAAACAAAAAACAAAAAACCTGTCCTCCCCCCAGATTTAGTTAATCCTACATCATTATCCCTCTTCTAATAACCAGGCCTATATTTCTTATATAACCAGGGCTCATAAAATTGGAGGAAAGGGCAGGAAAAGAGAGGGTGATCTTAGTGAGTGGTCTTGACTTTCTGGGAAGGAAGAGTGTAGGCAATCTCATTCTAACTGTTGTGCATGGTTGACAATCATACAGACAGTGAGCAACCCAGTTTCTCTATACCTCTCTTCCTAAGGTTCTGCCAATAGATGAACCCTAGCTCTGGTGTTTGTTTGCTCCGTGAACTTGGGCAAATTATGTCAAGTCCCTGTATCTAATTTTTCCCCACAAAAAAAGTTATTGGAGATATATTGCACCTTAAAATAAGAGAGAGACAGTAGAGTGAAAATAGAACTCTTAAGTGTTAGTATTATCATGAGGTCACTAAGATATCTCTAGTTTGCCTCAGAATGCCAACCTGACGTCAATTGTACCTAATGTTGGTGTGAGTGATTTGCCAAAGAAGGCAGTCTGTGGGCTTTGTCCAGTATCTGTAACTGTGTTGCTTCTCTCCCACCTTTATTTAGGACACTAATTTTCAATGAGGGGTGGTTTTTTTCCTTTAGGTGAGATTTGGCAATGTCCAGGTGCATTTTTGGTTGTCATGATGGGGTCACTACTGGTATTTAGTGGACAATAAATGGAAAATGCTTCTGCATGTTCTACAATGTACAGCCAACAATAAAATCCAACGCCAATGCCAATAGGGCTGAGGTGAGAAGTCTAGACTTTAAGTGTTTTATTTCTGTTTAGAAGTGCTTTAAGGATAGGGCCAGTATGTGGCATGGTAGTTAGCAGTGCTGGATTCCCATATGGCTGACCACAGTTCGAGTCCTGGACCTGGTGGCTTGCTTTCTCACTTTCTTCTCTCTCTCGCTCTCTCTGCAGTCAAATTAAATAAATAAATAAGGCTAAATAATTTTTTAAAGGTGCTGTAAAGCATGTATTGGTGTAGTTTTGCTTTTCTAAGCAAAACTTATTCTAAGCAAAACTTTTTCTAAGCAAAACTAGTGTCAGTCCTGAAACCACGACTATGTTTCATCTATCTTGCTTCCTAATAATTGAAGCTAATAAATTCTTCCTTTCAGTGGGTCTCAGAGTGAATAAGGACTTGTGGAGGATACCCAATCTTATGTTTCAAATCAGATGATTACCTCTCTTGTTTTTAATAATCAGCCTTAGTTTGAACCACCCCAGAGAAACCATCTGCAGCCCTATCACACCTGAATGAGTCAGATCTTTCCTCATTTTGAGATTTCGGGGCCTTAGTGTACTTTTTGCTGTCGGGTTTAACTCCTATATTATCATTTTATGAGACCATGTTTTTAGGTATCTCTCTGATCAATCATAGCATGTGGTTCACACAGGACCTTGTACTAGAAAGGATTGTTATAAATATCGAATGAATGGTTATGCAAAGGAAACCTGGTCTCCCATCTGTTTCTATTTTCTCATGTTTTTATCTACTTCTGTTATATTACTAGGTCATCTTGCAGCTCTGAACGTTAGTACTCATTAGACCAGCTGTTCTCAAATATGGATGTATCAACTAGTCATGTGGGGGTCTTGTTAACATGCAAACTGATCAGAAGATTAGGAATGAGATCTGGAATTCTATGTATCTAAGTGCTCAGGTGTCACTGATTTTTGCCTTTTTGGGGACCAGACTTTCACTTGTAAGACCTTAGACATATTATTCACCATCTATCAGTAGAATAAAGAATTCTCTGTGGATAGAGAATCATTGATAAAATCTGAGCCAAACACTTACCATATCCTCATAACTCACTGAGTCACTCCGACATGTCCTTCTAAGGCAATGACTGACTTGACTCGGTACCAGGGCCAGATATGTAAATGGCAGACTTGAGATCTTTCTCAAGTAATTTAATGGTTTTAGTATTTTATTTCTTATCTGGCAAATGACGAGATTACTGTCCTGTCTCAGAATTTTCTTACAGCAGAATTCTTTATTTAATAAAGATAAAAATATGCTAACACACTCTTTTTTTTTTTAATAGCTGTGACTTCAACATGTTCTGATGATTGGTTGGTAGTCAGAATGAAGAAAAAACCTTTTGATAATGACACGGAAGCTAGAATTGGTGACATACACCTGGGAAATAATTGTCCTGTCACAAGGATGCTGTCAGTCAACTATGAATTTTCTTATTCCATCATTTATTGTGGGATCAAGAAAATTGTAAGTATCATGATTTCCCATAAAACTTTTTTTTTTTCTTTTCAGGGCTACATAGTATCAAAGATACTATTTTTTTTTTTTTGAAGAGGTTTTTGCTATAGGGTGCGTGCGCTCGTCAGACAGACAGAGACAGAAAGCGAGAAATCACCCCCTGGGGGGATGGCCATGTCGCAATTCCTTCTCCTCCATTCTCCTCTCGGGATCTTGGGTACACACGCACATGTGCCTGGCGTGAGTTTTAAGCTACCTGGTCTGGGACGCGAACCATGGTCGACTACATGGGAGTCCAGCGGCATAGCCATTACGCTAACTGCTGGTCCCTCAAAGATACTTCTTAATTAAAAATTTTAGGGACATTCATATTTTTTGTAGAGACCAATTCTCATATAGGGGCTATGCACTCATCTTAGTGGGAACATTTCAGATAAAAGTTTTAAAAAGATAAAAAGTTATGACCTATGTTCACTCTCACCTGTTGTCAGTGGTTAATTTTTTTGGATATTGTGTGAGGATATGTGCAAATGAGCTATTTTGGACATCACAAATACAAGGATACTTCAAAAATCTTCTGGAAAACTGGAATGATGAATTTATTTCGATGCGAAAAAAATATTGAAATTCATGCATAGTTTTTTCATGCGTGTTTTCCACAAACTTTCTGAGGAACTCCTATGTACTTTCAAATAGTACCAGAAACAAAAATTGTCTTTTATTACTAATCTGGTGGGAAAAATAGAGGCAAAGAGGTCTTTGTCATTCTAGGTGTTCGAAAGGAATGATGCTGTCATATTATCTGAGATCAGTTATCGACCAGCGACGGATACCATCTATAAATTTCAGGTGGCTTGCTTTGTGAAGAGGTACGTGTGACCATCCATACCTTATACATTTTTAGTTGATGTTTGTTTAGAATACAACCCTTTTTTTTAAAAAAATGCCCTAAAGGAAGTCTATGGCACAATGAAAATTCCTAAAACTTTTTAATTCTCATGAGAATTTTGAATCATACAGAAGAGTTGAAAGAATTTTACAGCAAACACTCAAATGCCTGATACCTGGAGTCTACCTTTTGTCCTAAATTTTATCACACATCCATTTCCCATTCACAAATTTGGTGATGCACTTACAACTGAAGGCATGAATGCGTTTCCCCTGAGTACTTCAGTGTACATACCACAAATTATGTATCAATATTTAAAATAATTTCTCTGAAGAAAAATTTGGATACCATTAAATATAAAAAAGTTACAGAAGCATATGCATTTATAAACTCGGCTCTGTGTTTCACACACAATTTTAGCAATTTAGCTAAGATTTTCATTTCTGCAGAACATGGTTCTTCCCCATTGGTTCCTGCTCCTTGCACCTCACTGTTCTTATCTCTTCCGTAACTTTGTATAAATGGAATCATAGCGCATATTCTTTTATCCAGTGTAATATTTGAAATTCAAAGTGCATTCTACTATAGTAGCTTATTTCTTTTTTCTTTTTTCTTTTTGGAGAGATTTTCACTATAGGGCGCATGCGCTCGCCAGACAGACAGAGAGAGACATAGAGACAGAAAGAGAGAAATCACCCCCTGGGGGGATGGCCACTCCACAGTCCCTTCTCCTCCATTCTCCTCTCGGGATCTTGGACACGCACGCACACGCGCCCGGCGTGAGTTTTAAGCCACCAGGTCTGGGATGTGAACCGCGGTTGACTACGTGGGAGTCCAGCGACATAGCCATTACGCTAACTACTGGTTCCCAGTAGCTTATTTCTTTAGAGCTGAGTTGTGTACTTTTTTTTTCCCTTAATTTTTCATTTATAATAGAGGGCTCACATACATGAGAGACAGAGACAGAGAAGGAAATAGAGAGGAGCATCTTGGAGAGGGTCTCGTGATGCAATTCCCTTTCCCCAGTCCTCTGGCCTTTAGGGTCTTGGGCACAGGCACTCACCCTGCATGTTTTTATGCTAACCTAGGAATCTGAACCTGTAGTGAACTATGTGGCTTCCAGCACTAAAGTTTAGTGACTTTCTGCTACTGACTGGGCCTGTTATTATTTTGACAATTTACTAGATATGATATCGTGAATAAATCTGTTATGACCATCTTTATTGCAACGCTTTGTAAAGATGTATGTTTTTGTTTCTTTGAGGGGATAGTTAGGAATAGACTTTCTTGGTCACAGAGAAAGTATATCTAGTTTTGTAAGAAACTAGTATTTTCTCAAACAGGGTGTTCTATTCTTCATTTATACTGGAAATATATGAATGTTTGATGGTTTCACCACATGATGCTGCCATTCTTTTCATTCTATTCATGATATCAGGTGCATCATGGTATCTCAGTTTAATTTGCATTTTCTGAATGACTAATTATTAGTGGCCATTGGCCATTTGAATCTCTCATATGAACTGTGGTTTTTCTTTTCCAAAATTATTTAATTTTATTTGTTGTTGTTGTTATTTTTTAATTTGACCAAAGAGAGATCAAGAGAAGGGGAAAGCAAGATGGCAAGCCACGAGGTCTGGCACTCAAACCACGGTCAGCCGTGGGCAAGTCTAGCACCTTAACTACCACACCACCTGCCTGCACCTGAGCTATGGTTTTTGCCCATTTGATTCATCCATCTTACTGACTTAGTGTTCTTTATATACCTTGAATATCAGGTATTTGTCAGATGTTTGGCGAATATTCTGCCTCAATCTCCAGATAGCTTATTCCTTGTTGTAGTGGTGTCTTTCGATGATCACACATCTTTAATTTTAGATTTTTAACTTGCAGAGTCACCTTTTTATGATGATCACTTCCTGTTCTGTCTTAAAGTTTTTTTGCTTATCACCAAGTTTTTTATTTTAAAACTTTTTGTTTTGGATGTGTTTGGGTCTACAATACATTTGAAGTTAATTTTGGTATGTAGTATGAGTCAGGTCAAGATCTGTCTCATTCCATATGGAGGTTCTGGTGATTAGCACCATTAATGAAGTGACCTCTTCTCTTGCTTTTCTTTGACTCTTCTGTTAAATCAGTGACATATAAATTTGGATTTCTCTGAGCTCTCTTTTCTGTTCTTTTGATCTACTTGATCTTTGTCAGTACTGTGTCATCTTCACTATCTAAGTTCATTTTTGCAACTTATCAATGTCATTTTAACTATTCACGATGCTCTTACATTTGCACTATATCTTTATACTTCCCAATGGCTGGAGAAGGTCAGATAAAATTAAGGCAGAAGGCCATGTCCGACTTGAAAACCCTAAAAAAAGAAAAAAATCCAGTTTTTCAGAAATCACTAGTCATCTCTAGGTCTATGTTAATATAAGGAGTCTTTAAAAAGTTCATGGGAAATGCAAATTATGAAATTATGCATGGATTTCAAAATTTTTTGGCACCAAGATAGATTTATATTTTAATTCCATTTTTTCATGACTTGGTAGCCTGGTAGCCAGTAACCATGTGTAACATTTTTAATTAATGTTAAGTATAACTAAGAATTTAGTTATTTAGTTTAACTACTTATTTTTCAAGAGCTTAATAGCAACATGTGGTTAGTGGTAACATATTTCATAGTACAGATTTAGAACAGTTTCTTCATAATAGAAAATTCTATTGGCCAGTGCTGCTACATCAGAATAAGTATGCTTTTAACTGGACATTAGTTAATTAATGATCACAAATATTCATATTTATTTTAAAGAAGTAGTTCTGAACTTTAAATAGTGTTTCTCTGAATCTTGTATTTTTTTATACTAGCCATCTTTTTAGATTATATGATAGAGTTGAAGATTAGTGTAAGATGAAGGATAAATATTTACTAAATGATGGATGAGAAGGAATATCATTGAACATTTCTGATGTCTTAGGTAATGTGAGAACAGCTTTCTGAAATCATTTCACTTCTATATAATATGCACTATAATCACCATTCTTTACTGATATAGGTGGTAGCTATTATATGATATACCAAATGGCAAAGTTAATATATATCAGAGCCAGGATCTGGCTCTATTTGATGGATATTAGTTCCTACCCAGAACTTCTGCAAATCTGATAATCTGTTCTTTAAGGAAGATAGAAATGTTTTAGACTCTATCTCTAGACCTAAGGCCAGGTGAACTAAGTCCTCAATTTTGGATGTAATGGTACTTTAGTCTTTGATTTTTTTTTTTTTTTAAAGAATATGCTTCCTTGCCCATGGGAAACTATTGTATGGAGTCTGAGTTCTGTGTTCCTGGGACAGAATAGAAAATATGCCTGGTATACCTTCCTTTTAATCTGAGAGACCAAGTCCTTCCAGCCCCAAATGCCTTTTCAACCGCTCTACCCCATGGCTATAATAGTAGCTGCAGCTGCTATGTTTTTATAAGGACCACATATGAAACAAGCTTCCCTTAATTGATTTAGAAGTTAGTCCAAATTTAGATGATGTCGATCAGTTTTTTTTTTTTTTTTGAGAAGTTTTTGGTACAGGGATTGTGAGCTCGCCAGACAGAGAGACAAAGAGACAGAAAGCGAAAAATCACCCCCCAGGGGGGATGGCCATGCTGCAATCCCTTCTCCTCCATTCTCCTCTCGGATCTTGGGCACACACGCACATGGCATGAGTTTTAAGTCACCGGGTCCAGGACTTGAACAGTGGGCAACTACGTGGGAGCCCAGCGACGTAGCCATTATGCTGACTGCTGGTCCTTTGATCAGTTTTTCAAACAGCCTTTGTGAATCTGCCAGCCCCTGAGGAGGTAAAGGCTATGAGATAAAAATTGTGAGCCTTAAGTCTCTCTTTTGGCCCATGGAATGAAGCGGCTCTATGGCAATGAAGTCAAGTTATGGAGTATATGGATGTGATAATACAAGTTGTACATCCATGTTTTTGCCTCTAATTTTTGAAGTCAAGTTGCCTTTTTGTAGTTGGTATTGACATGGTCACCATTTAGCCATTTTACGTAGTTGAAACTTGCAAATGGTATTTTTTTGTTTGGATAAATCATTGCTTTTGTGCAATGTAAAAATCTTTCCCACTATTTAACAGCATTTTGAAAGAATAATTTTCTGGTTATGTGACTTCAGAAGCCTGAGTGTAGTACAATTCTTTTTTTCCTTAGAGGATTTTGCTATAGGGCACGTGCGCTTGCCAGAAAGAGACAGAAAGCGAGAAATCACCCTTGAGAGGGGATGGCCATTCTGTAATCTCTTCTCCTTCATTATCCTCTAGGGATTTTGGGCACACATGCACATGAGCCTGGCGTGAGTTTAAGAGTTTAAGTCACTGGGTCCGGGACTCAAACCACAGTCTACTACATGGGAGTCCAGCGACATAGCCATTATGCCAACAGCTGGTCCCAGTGTAGTACAATTTAACAATGGAATTTCTTATGTAATTTTCAGTTTCCTTCCTTTCCTTTCTGCTAGTTCCAGCTATGCTGAGGGTTGGAGTAGATTCCTACATGTGATCTCTTTGTGGCATTAAAATCCATTCTCTTGGTACCAGCAGATAATGTAAAAGTTACATTGCTGGACTCCCACAGAGATGACTGTGGTTTGAGTCCCAGACCCAGAGGCTTAAAACTCATGCTGGGTATGTATGCACATGTGCCCAAAATCCCAAGAGGAGAATGGAGGGGAAGGGATTGCAGCATGGTCATTACCCCCAGGAGATGATTTCTCACTTTTTGTCTGTCTCTGTTTCTCCAGCAAGCACACACACCTTATACAAAAATCTCTCTTAAAAAAAATTCCATGCTCTCACCTACCTTTTCTGGTTAAGTTAACAAGGATAATGGTGCTAAGACATGGGAAAAGGAAAAAATCTCTTATTGAAATGGTCGCAGATATCTTTTGATCAACTCTGGCTGGCCACGGATACCTTCTCATAGTAGGTCTAAATGCTGGTCATCTTTACTTCACAACTCTGAACGTCTTTGATGACTCAGATTTTATCTTTGGTAGGCCTTCTCAAGAAAAATCTTGGTAAAATAGTTCAATCCCTGTTCCTTTAGAGGTATCCACTAAGCTCTCAAGAAAAGGATTCATTATTTTAATCACAAATGATAGTAGTATAGGCTAATTATACCTTATTTACCTGCAGTTTGCTTTCTCACGGATCAAATAAGTTAAGGGCATATTGGCCTTTCTAAGTTCACAGAAACAGAGAGGCTTTGAATAAGATTTTAGCTTCTCTTTACATAAACACTGTGGATCTGAGTCATTCTCTTGGAAATGCCTGCCTCTTGACATTGGGAGATGAGTGAATCACCTTTCCTAATGTACAGGGAGAGAAATATAGCAAGTGGACTTAACACTTCAAATCCTAAAGTGTGGCAAAGAGTTGAGATGGTAGTGGAAGGTGGAAATCTAACTGCTGCTTAACCCTGAACAGGGTGTCTCCCTTTCCTGCCAGGCTGAATTTGGTTGTAAACCTTTTCCCACACTTTTAAATCTGTATTTTCAATTTCCAGTGTGTGGATATCTATGTGTGTGACCCAGTTACAGCTGTTTGGTGGATGAAATTCAATATGTTCGACCCTACATAGAATATATTTTATATCTAACAATCATTTAAAATGTCTGATTCTGACTTCTGGTCTAGAAATAACTGTTCTGCATCTTAGCGGGTCACAGTATGATTTTTCCAAAGCATTAATACCATGTATAATATAGACATATTCATCTTCAGTATCGACTGTTGCATTATGTTATGTACATTAATAGACAAAAGGATGCATGTAAACAAGTGAACTAAGTTATAGAATAGCATCTTCAACAACCATTTAAATGTTTGAAACTTTAACTTTGAGGCTCTCAGGACAATTCTAGATTGATAGGTAACATCTTACTGAAGATTCTGTTATAAATTAATTTAGATGCATTGGACAAATTTGCCTTTTTTCCTCAAGCTAGTTAGTTACTTTATATTTAACATAAACCTGATGGATTTATTTATGTCTTTCGCACAAAAATATATGTACAACTATCAGTTCTGTGTGTCTTATCATTTGTTCTTTTAGGCTGGTGGTTCCATCTCTGATGCCTTTCGGAATGAATGGGTATGATGCCAGTACCTTGAGAGGCAGTGCTCAAGGAGCAAAAGAGCAACAGCCATCAGCTCATCCACCAAGCAAAAAATGTGGGCCTCAGGTTAGCACCGTTAAGAAGGTGAGAATGTTTAGGTTTTCATCATTTCATGGTTAACTGTAGTCTGTCTGTTAAATATAATTTCAATGAAGAAGATCAGGTAAATCCCCTTTTGAATGCTGTGCACTCAAACGGCTCTGGTCTTCATAGACTTGAATGGTATAGACTATACTTGGGTATAATCATAGCTTTCTTGGTAGTCAGACGTAAGCATGAATAGATTTCACGCTATTCAGTTTTCTTACCTTCATTCTCAGGTACTAAATTGTTCATTTTTAATATAGCCTGTGCAAATAGTTGTTATAGAAGGACCATACCAGGTCTGCAATTTCATGCTAATACTTTCCAAAAAAGTACATGGGTACATGTATGTATACAGTGTTCAAACAGTTCATAGAAAATGCATATTGGGCCAACTGGTGGTATGGTGGTTAAGGCAGCTAGATCCTACATGGTCAGCCACACAGTTTGAGTCCTAGATCTGGAGACTTGAAAATAAGCCAGGCATGTGTACATGTGTGCCCAAAATTCCAAAAGGAGAAAGCAGTGAAAGGAATTGCAGCATGGCCATCCCCATGAGAGTTGTTTTCTCTCTGAAAAGCACTATGCCTACTCGTAAACTTTTTTTTAAAATGGGAATTAAGAAAAATATGCATGGACTTCAACATTTTTTGTGCCAAAAAAATAAACTTGTACTTTAATTTTCTGTGAAATTTTTGAAGCCTGTGTGTGTGTGTTTAAGGTAATATGTAAGTAACAGAAGTAGGAAGATAAGTGAACTGGGCTTTAAAATTTAGAGGAATTCATTAGTAGTTTTAAGATTAATACTTGCAGAAAAATACCGTCTTCATAAGAATTTTTATACTGAGCTTATTTTAATTTTAGCATTATTTTATTTATCAAGAGAAAGGGAGTGAGAAAGCAAGCAGCCAGGTCTAGGACTCAGACCACAGTCGGAGTGCCTTAACCACTATGCCACCTGCTGGCCCCTAAGTTATAATCATAATGTACATAGAACTGTAAATATGTATAAGTTACAGTGTAGTTTTTCAATATGTATATATGACATGCAATGATCAAATAAGAGCAATAAACATATCCCTCATCTTGAACACTTATTACTTTGTCTAGTGAACATCTGGAATCCTTCCAGCAGTTTTGAAATATGCACTGAATTGTTACCAACTGAAGTTACTCAACTGCAATAATACACTAGAACTTCTGTTTATCTGCTTGCACTCTTGAGTCTGGTAACCAAGTTCTTTCTATTCCTCCCACCTCTCCCACTTCCTTGCTTCTGGTATCCACTGTTTCACTCTCCACTTCTTTGTAACCAATCTTTTAACTTCTACCAATGAGTGAGAACGTATCGTATCTGTCATTCCATGCCAGGTTATTTCACTGAGCATTATCTCCTTCTGGTTTGTCCATGTTGCAATTGAGAGGATTTCACCCTTGATGATTAGTATCTCCTGATGTATATACCACTTTTTCTTTGTCCAGTTATCAGGTTTTTTATTTTAAAAGGGTGCTCTGAAATGCGTGCATATGGACAATGAATGGCCTTGAAGTTGATGAACTTTTTTCAAAAGCTCTAATAACTACTTTGAATAAAGCTGAGTTGTATGGTCATAGTAGTCTCAAAAAAAAAAAAAAAAGGTGATCTAACCACTATTTAGATCACTTCTAATAACATTTAATTTACATACTTGATTTAGTTGGATAATGTTTTTGAATAGTCTCATTTTTATATGCAGTTTTGTTTTCCCCGGTTTTAGTGGCTCGTAGTCAATCACAGTCTGAAAACAGGTGAATACAGAACAATAAGATCTTTAGAAAGACAAAACATTCACATAACTTTTATTACAAAGAATCCTTAGAATTGTTTTATTTTAACTATTGTCATACTGTGCCTAATTTATAAACTTAATCATGGATATGTATGTATGGGGAAAAACAGTGTATATAGGGTTGGTATTATATAGGGTCTTAGAATGCATCCCTTGGGGGGGTTACCATAAATTACATTCGAGGGTCAAAATTTGATTCTTTAATATGTTTTCCATTGAGCAACAATAAGTTCTCAACAAGTTTTAGGTAAGAGTTACAAATAAATAGCTCTTAACTGTTCCTCCCTCCTCTTCCTGCAGGAACAACTACCCATGAATCACTGCATCAACAATGCCCATGCCATGACTCCCTCTCCTCCCTAACACACCAGAACAGATGGCACATACCTGTCTGGGCGCCATTGTCAGTAATGTTGTTATTCTTCCTGTCCAAAGATGAGTAGCAGTTACCTATAACCTGTTTAAATATCTTCTGGAATTTCAGCTAGTCTATACTTAATATTGTGATATGTAAACTTTTTTTTTAGGTCAAGTTTAAGGGAAACTGCTATCCTAACTATGTGAAGTCAAGCTCATAATAAAGTTGCTACTGTATAAAAGTTTGCCTATTAGTGTGGCTGTTCTTAAGACAGATTTAACGTAATTATTAAGCATACTAATCTTAAACATTTCAGGACATAGCTACCCCTCGAAGCTTTTACCTAGTGTCTCATAGTGAAATATAGTCCCCTGACTACATTCCTTTCCTGCCCCCCCCCCCTATTTTTAAGCAAGAAATTTTTGCTACAGGGTGCATGTGCTTACTGGAGAGACACAGAGAGAAAGAAAGCAAGAATCAGCCTTCAGCGGGCGATGGCCACATTTCAGTCCCTTTTCCTCCATTCTCTCAAGATCTTGGGCATTCAAATACACACACACACACACACACACGCCCTGTGTGAGTTTTAAGCTGCGGTGTCTGGAACTCTAACCATGGTTGACTATATGGGAGTCCAGCAATGTAACCATTATGCCATCTGCTGGGTCCCAAATTCCCCTCTTTTAATGTAAGTAAAAAGAAGAATAATTGCTTTAACTGATTGGGTTTCCAATCAGTCCTTCATCTTTGGCTTTCTAGAATGCTTTTTATGTTTTTGGGTAATAAGGAACTGTGAGGAAGTATTTTAAACTTGTTTTGACACTGTATACTTATCCTTTCTATTAACTTGATAAGCTGAGAGTCTGGAAGAAAATAAGATTCCAATTGCTTTTGGGGCCTCTTAGAATGATGTAACTGTGTAAAGCCACAACCACACCACCATGCCCGCCTTCTCGCCTACCTCCAACCGGAGATCTATGGGTTGCTGGAAATTTCATAGCTAAGCAAGATCATTTGCTTTTCCTTTGGTGGCTTCTGAACTAACAGACATAATGGTGAGCAGGGAGCCCCAACTACCGATAAGGATTTCTACTGCGTGGAGGATAGCAAAGATCATAACAATGTCAACTATCAGATGTAGAAGCTCACACTTCTCAGTCCACTGTAGTTTTTATAGGTTTGGCATCACTGAGAAGGACTGAATAGGCAAAGGAGAATATATTGAAAGGAAAAGAGATGGAACAAAAAGAAAAGCAAAAATCGGCATCTGTTATGTGTGTACCAGTCTCCCAGGGCAGTGGGCTCCTCCTGGTAGCTGTTGCATTGCACATACTGTATGCATCCTTCTGGAGCTGCAGGCAGGGACCCCGCTTTCTTCCCACATGGGCAGATATACTGGTGGAGTGGTTGGGCACCAGATGATGATCTATACCATAACCCATATAAGGAAGTTCATTGTGTACCCAAAGTGAGAATAATGTTTCCTAATAAGGAAGATTCTGGGACCAACGGACAAGGCAGATCCCAGCTTCCATAGAGGGTTCCAGTCCAGAGCAATATTTTAGAGGGGCATCAGATTGTACCATGGCTGCTTTCCTAAAACAAAGTACTCAAAACTCATGCTTATCACAGCTCGGATCCCAGGCTTAAACAGGCTTTCTCAATTTCTTTCTGAATTTACCCATTGCTTCTCTGAAAGAGAAACTCTATGCTTTCAAGAATAGCACATAAGAGCCCTGGTACTAAATTCATGTCAAAGGAGCCTGAACCAGAGTAACCCATGTACATGTGCACGGATACACATACACAGTCTTCTTTGCTCACAAATTTGTCTTTTTCCATGGAGAAAACTTGTATTTGGGGACAGAACATTTTCCCATGTCTAGGATTCTTTTATCCTATAAAAGAAATAAAGGAATTTATAGAACAAGTCATTATAGACGTAAGGAAAATGTGTGGAAGATCTCTTTAGACATAGAAGTTATTCTTGCTAAATCTGAATGAAAGTACCTCCATTTCTCCTTCTAGTTAGGGATAGTTTTATTTCAAGATACAAACATATTTCAACATCTTGTCATTAGACCTGCTGCATTAACTTAACTGAGCTTCTGGCAACTATCTGGTACCTAACTACACCAACTTTTTTCTTTTTTTCATCAGACAATTTTTTAACTTATTTTTTTACTTTTATTTTTTATTTATTGTACATTCATTCACTGAGTATCATCACAGCATACAAAATGTGACTTCCCATCCAGAATACACTGTATAGTAGCTTAATCATACTTGTTATCATAATCACTCCCCAGGGGAGATGGTCACGCTATAATTCCTTCTTCATTTCCCTCCTGGGATTTTGGGCATGCATGCACATTTATCCAGCATGATTTTCAAGCCATCAGGTCTGGGAATTGAATCACAGTTGGCCATGTGGGAATCCATCTGCCTTCACCACCACACCACCTTCTGGCTCCACTATACAACTTACCAATCTTTGGTCCTTCCCAAGATAAGTGAATCTGGTGTAGATAGAGCAGAGGCCCATTGGAAGGCTTGAAAATGCTGGATTTTTTTTTTTTTTTTTTTCAGTAAAAAGGGAAGAAGGAAGGCCGGCAGGTGGGGGGGTGATTAAGGGCACTGTACTCCCACATGGCCAACCATGATTTGAGTACCGAACCTGGTGGTTTGCTTTTGTGCTTTCCCCCTCTCTCACTCTGTCCTTCTATGGTAAAATTAAAATCAGTAATTAAAGTTAAATAATTCCTTTTTAAAAAGGTAAGTTTTGCCATCTCATCTGTGTGTTTCTTTACTATGCTTTCCCCCCCTTCAACTTTAAGTAGAATTAAAGATGCAGCATGATTTGGCCTAATCTTTGATGTGACTAAACCCTATTACATTGTTGACTACCTTTGAAATCACAGTTTTGATTAAAATATTAGGTAATATTTCTGGACTCATTGCAATGGCATATATGCCATTAACAATCACTCCAGTAATGAGGCAAGTATTTCTTATCTCAGTATTAAAAAGTTTCAGTGGTAACTTAAGTTGACAAAAATCTCTGTCAAAATGAGAATTTTGATTTAGATACTTTTGATAGTTAGACTTCAGTTTTTGACACTTATTTGTTGATATTTTGGAATATATAAATTATTTTAAAAATGAACTTTTAGGGGCCAGCAGGTGAGTGGTGCTTAAGGAACTGGATTTCTATATGGCTGACTGTAGTTCAAATCCTGGACCTGGTAGTTTGAGAATCACACTGGGCACATGTGTGCCAAAATCCCAAGGGGAGACTGGAGGAGAGCAGATTGCAGCATGGCTATATCCTCTGCCAGGGGGTGGGGTGGGGAGGCTTGTGACTTGTCACTTTTCCTCCCTCTCTCTTTCTCTAGTGAGCATATGCACCCTATGACAAAAACCTAAAAAACAAAACAAAAGCAAAAACATAATTTTTAATGTAAATGTTTCATTAAATTCTAATCATATAATATTTATTCCAAGAGTAGACAGTATATCAAGGGAAAGCAGGCTAGATAATCCTCACTTGATTTTTTTCTTAACTTGCTTAAAATTTATGTAACTCTGAAAATAATCAGCATCTCTGCCATAAAATGCTTGCTTGTTTCCTGGAGGCATCAGAGTAATAGGCTGACCCATTCATAAGTTGTGATAGTCTAACTTGGTGAAAATTGTGTTTTTGACTTAAAAGGGTAGAGTGAAGGTGGTGAGAAGCGGTGCAATTGAGGATACATGTCGGAGGGCATAAACACATACTGATGGTTTGGACGGAGAGTACGAGGAACACCCTGAATCAAAGATGTCTCCAGGATCCAGGGCAGGGTGAATGGTGATGCCACTTGGAAGAAAATGATTTTGGGGGTAAAGATCAGATAATATTTGGACAGATTTAAAAATGTAGTCACTTTTAGGTCTTACCAATTAGTTTTTGTTGGTTTCCTGCCTCTCTATCATATATCAATAGTTGCCATGAAATTCATGGACTTTCTACTAATCACTCCAAAAAGTCTGGATAAAAGATTCATGAGGCTAGGGCAGTAAACAAGTTTTGTTTCCCTCAAAATTGTCAGAGCCAGTAGGCGGCCTGGTGATGAAAGGCACTGGACTCCCACATGGCCAATCGTGGTTTGAGTCCCAGACCTGGTGGCTTGCTTTCTTACTTTCCCTCCCTCCCTCTCTCTCTGTCCCTCTCTGATCAAACTGGAAAAGAATAATAATAATAAAAAAAAGTTACATAAAAAATAATTCTTTAAAAAAATTGTCTTCGCAAAATACAGAATGAAGAATGTGAACTGAGAGCCAGTTCTGTGGATACCCTGGTTAGAAAATGGGGTTTGGTGGGAAGGTTGGAGTCACATGAGTGTGATCAGAATGAGCTATTAATATTGTTGGCACAAGAATGAGCCTAAATAAATAAAAAAAAGATGAACAGATTCTTCTCATTTCTTTGCTTCATATAAATGGAATTTCTAATTAGCTATACAGACATTCTAACCTTGATAGCTATAAAGAAAACTGCAAGACTTGTGGTTTAATTGTGGGATAGTTAGTCAAATATTTCTACATCTGAGTTCATGATACTGAGATATTCTTTGAGTAAAACAAAGAATTACACATGTAATTCTTGCCAAGACTACTTTGGATAAAGTTCATGAAACTATTTGAAAACTTTATTATGCACTTGTCTTATTTTGTGTGTGTGTCATGGAAAAGTTACTTTACAGTGGGATAGAATCACAGTAATGGTATAGATTTGAATTGCTCCAAATCTTACAAAAACAGACAATGCAACTAGTGTAATAAAAGCACACAGACTTAAAAATAAACAGTGACAAGGATATCTCTGTAAATCTTATTAGAACGTGGTCAGACCAAACAGCTGCCGGTAGGAGGTCCTCTATAGGTTCCATGCAGGTTTGGGAGTATTGCTAATGGAATTTTTAATTTTTTCCAATTAGACCAATGAGTCCAAATTAATAAATATTTTAATATTTTTGAGTAGTAGTCTTATACTCATCGTGCTTGTTGAGTTCGTTATCAGTTTAATAGTTTGTCAGTTAATTTTCTTTTAAATTTTTTGTACTG